CGAATCCTAGTTCAGCGAATTACTTTTATTTTAATTTTTAAATTGCCATTCTCTTAAAACTATTTGCAAACGTTTTAATCTGTGTTGTATCTTAATAGCGTGTATGCGCTAAAGTATATACGATTGCATAATGTCAAAAAGAGAAACGTTGAAAGATACTATAATAAAAATAAAAATATATGACTGTGTATAAAAACCACCACTTAAAATGTATTCTAAAAGCAGTTGTAGTAAACCGATTTCAAATTAATTCTTGCAAGTAAATTTAAAAAAAAAATAATCATAACATGGTGTTGGTAAGGAATCGAACCAGTGACCTTCAGATCATTAGTCCGACATCTATACCAATACACCCACGCCTCTCTCTGTATATATTTATCGATATATTCAATAGATACTAGTCAGTGTGTATTCAAATGACCTTTACGAAAGTTAATGAGGTGCCAGGTCAATATTGTTGGACAATACTCTCAAAGTTCCACTTGTTTACAATTGGCCAAACGTGAGTGAGAGTTTGAATAAGTAAATAATACTGTGACATTTGATGGTTCATGTTTATTTTTTAACTATTTTTATAACAAATAAAATCATCATTTGAGGCTATTTGTATGGAATTGTTTACGATTAATTTTAGTACATACACACCACCTAACCTGCGGATAAATACATTCATAAAAGGTAGTCGTTGATCCCTTTCATTTATCAAGCACTGAATTTACTAATGTGGAGGATATGTTATGAATTGTAGACAGAATGATTCAGACTCATTTTTTATTTTCTTTTGTTAAAAATATGCTGCAATTTTAAATACCAAAATAAGAAAATCTGTCATCTGCCCCATTTATCATAACTGTATGGTGGACATGATTTTTTTATTTATACACTCGGAATGTTAATCATGAAAATTTTTTGAAGACCCTAAACTGACAATAATTAAAATGCGAAATACCGATAAGTTCATTATCCCGCAAAGTATGACGATTGTTTTTTTATTATAAAAAAAAAACAAAAAAATCAAGCAATACCATAATTTTGAAAACCACAATATTCTTAGAACTGTTCATCATGCCAGCATAAAATAACTTTATGTCATTTTAATCATTGAATGATTATAACAACTGCAAGTTATGCAACAATTTCATTTTACCGTAAACATATTTACATATAGCAAAATGTAGACAAATAAAAATAATGTTTTGTGATGAGTATCAAATTATGCTTCACGGTCAGAAAGTGCAAACCTTGAATAAAATCACGGGAAAAAATATTCGTATTTCCTAAATATTATTCTCATTTCTCATTACTCGTCGCTGACTTTGACGGCTTCAAATATAAAGTTAAGCTAAATATTTCTTGAAAAAAACAAAAACACAAAAACCAATTACAAACCTGCAAAGTTTATTCAAAACTTGAAACAATTTATTTTGTGAAAATTGATCAGAAAGTTTTATGTAAACTTTATGCACCGCACTTATAAACTGCACATGTCAGCGTTTTTTGTTTGTTTATGTTTTAACACCGCCAACTTAGTAGATTATCGATAGATTTCAATTTTGTAAACCTCACTAACTTTAAATATGTACTGCGGGAAAACATCTTGTTACCTCAGAAAATGGAATGGAATTTCCGCCACCCTTTCGGGTTATAACGTAGTGTTATCCCTTTCAATCATGTATGTATCACCATTTCCACAAATAGATGAAAGCATCGAATCGTCAGTTCTATGAATTGTATTATAAATAGCGTGTTTCGGAAGTTTTAATGTAAACGAGCTATGTTGGGAAATAATACTTTTTCTTTGCTAATAAATCAAGTGCTGTAAAATGAATTCGAATTTCCTCTTACGCCGCCGATTATTTTTAGAACACAAATATATAAGTTTTTGTTTTTATTTATTCAAATAAAATAGACCTGAAGAACGATATTATGATCATTAATCACTTTGGCGGCAAATATCGTTTCGTAAAAACTGTTGATGAATGGAAGTACGGCTTTAAAGCCGTGATTGCAACTACTACAATTACCTTCCTTTTCCCCGATGCTCGACAGTAAGTCATTCGTATACATGCGTTTTACATTATTGTGTTTTTAAAGAAGCTTATTATTTCTCTTTTATTTAACTGTATCAACAATTTGAATGTTATAAAATATGGACTATTCACTTATAATGTGTCGCCGTAGAACTGAATAATCTTCAAAAATATCTAATACACAACACGGGGTCATTCATTTCGTTAAATATTTATCATTGCGTCTTTCTCTGAAAACTCTGAAAAAAATTCCTTGTTCTGTTCTGGTTAGAAAAATATTTTACCACTGTAGACAAAAGGACCTGTCTTTCTGTCATAAAAATGATCGTTGCTTCCGATTTATGTTGTTGTAGAAAACACATGTTTTTTTTTAATTTTTGTTTTATAATCAATTCAAAATTATAATCAGTTAAATGAGATATCACACCCAGGTAAATGAATACTGGGAACTTTGGGTCATGTTTTTTCTCTCAAATATTTAAAGATTTCAACATTTGTATTATGGATTAAAATGAGCTTAGTTATGTTGTACTTTTTTAGTAAACAACTGGTTGTATAATTGCAAGACGTTTTTATAAAAAAAATGTATGTTGTCATTGATTGAAAAATTATGTTGGACTAGACCTATCACTGAAGGTGATTAATACCCCCACCAGCAACTTTGACTGTTTGAAAAATAAGTGGTCTGAAGACATATTTGAATAAAACCTATAGTAAATGAAGAATCAACTGTGTACACATAATTATTTCAATTAATTGCAATCCCAACCGGGGTCTTCATATAAGCTTGCTATACATCAAGTTTGTTTACAATATCTCATTCCTATCTATAACTATTGTCTGGAAACTATTTTTCTATGTTTAGTAACGGTGACCTTGACCCCAAGGTGTCCAAATACAATACCAACCTTGGTCTTCATATAAGCTTGCTATACACTAAGTTTGATTACAATATCTCATTCCTAACTTTAATTATTGTCACGGTGACCTTGACCTTGACCCTAGGGGGTCCAAATGCAAAACCAACCGGGGTCTTTATATAAGCTTGCTATACACTAAGTTTGATTGAAATATCTCATACATAACTCTATCTATCGTCCAAAAACCATGCTTCTATTTTTTAGTAACGATGACCGTGACCTTGACCTTAAGGGGGTCGAAATGTTTTACCGACCGGGGTCTTCATATAAGCTTACTATACACCAAATTTGATAACAATATCTTATTCATAAACATATTTCTATTTTAGTAACGGTGACATTGCCCTTGACCCAAGAGGGTCCAAATGATATACCAACCGGGATCTCCACACAAGGTCGCTATATACCAAGTTTGATTACAATATCTCATTCCAAACTTCAGTTATTGCCCGGAAACCATGATAAAGACCAAACCGACGGACTGACCGACCGACAAGCTGACTCCTGTATACCACCTAAAACTTCGTTTGAGGGGGTATAATGAATATATAAGTATTGTTTATTTTTCCTTTTCTAATGTAAAATTAATGTATTCTTGCGCTGACATTTTATGGAGGTTAAATACAAGGGTCTTTGGTATCTTACAGGTTTATTATTTAAATATTGATATTTTTATGCGACAAGGGTTCGAGAATATAATGTTTTTAAACTATATTTTTATCATAATCAGTGAATTCTAAATTAAGTGTATGCAAAATATTAACTTTCATCTATATGATATAATGGTTTTTGAGCGTTTTCCGCGTGTGAACTAATATGTTTGAAAAAAAAAAAGAAATTGCAGAGAGACTTGATCTATGTCACTGATGTAAGCGACAATTTAACAGATAATTTTAGTACATGTTGTTTTTTTAAATATTTAAAAGGAATATTAATGGTTTTTAATAACAAATGAACATACCAGTGTGAAAATATTCATGATATTGATATTACGATAATCAAAATGGCGAAGGAGTTAGTGACCCGTCATGCAAAAAATATGATAGACAAGATTAACAAGGAAAGGCGGCGTTCAATGAACGCAACATCACGAAACCAAGCAACAGCGACAAATGGCAAGTAGCAAAAGAAGACCCCAAACAAAACAAGGCATATCAAAGTTCATCGCTGCGTAGTCATTGGAAAATTGTTTTCAAAAAATAACAATATAACCGTATGTTGCCAAATAATTTAACATTTATTCAGTACTTTACACTCATGTCTTTTGTCTTTACTTTTCCTGATATACATGTAGTAGTTTAAAGTATAAGGATTAACATATCAGAAGTATTTATAACCGATGCATGACCAATTTACCGCCGCAGTAAGCGTAAGTTGAAATTTTGAAATATAGAAAACGTTTAAAGTGTTTTTCAGTAAGCCTTGATAAAAGGTCTTAACATTAGGGAGGCAAAGGCATAGTGAATTGGTATCTTTCGCTTATTGAATAGGTCATCAAACCGCTCCAAAGTTTTAAGAATTGATTGCTGGAGCATTTACTTTTGGGCGTAAAATATTTATTTAATGAGTAAAAATCATTTAGCATGTTCCTCTTCTCTTCAAAATACGACTTACTTAAACGAAAAATTAACAACGGGGTACAATATCTTTCACAGCTTCCAAAAAAAATAAATACCCTCGAATTATTCTGTTTTAAAAACCAAACATGTTTAATTGTGTGATTGCGACGTTCAACTGGCATTTTCGTGTATGTCTTGTTTGCGCATGCGTTATACTGATGACAGTTAAACAGCCGGAGTTGTATTTTATTTTGGTACGGTTTGCGTTACCGAATCTTGCATCGACCGTCTCGATAGAAGTCAACCAAGAGAACAACATGAAAATATTAACCCTGGCTCCAAAACATGTAGTTCTGCTACCGTATCTTCAACATAAAAGATAAATTTTCATCCGATAGGCCGTTGAGTCATGGCAAACGCGATAACAACAAATTCAAATTGAAAAAAAGTAATGAGTGTGAATGTTATGTTTCTTGATTTTTTATACTTACTGTGGATATTTAAGCATCTTACAAGCCACCGTTGCATCTTGCGTTCCAAATCTATCAATCAAATACTGTCCCCCAAGTGTTATCAATGCCAAATAGCTTCCAAAGTTACTACCTTCATATTGATTGACCGCGTCAACCAAAATCGAACTTTAAAGAAAAACTAAAATTTTCAAACAATAATAAATTAATGTACTATTTGAAATAGTTTGTACCTGAGCAGTAATTTGCAAATACTTATTGAATTTTCTGTAGCCAGTAAGACGTGGCACAGAGAATGAAATGTGGGTTGTATTTTTATTCATTTTCTTAATACCAAATGCAGATACTATAAACGTGGCCGAGTGACTAAATGTCATTCGCATGAGATAATAAAGTGGTACGCAAGGAACGCCTTTTGTAAATCGTGGCCACGACTAAGTATTTCCAGTTTCGCACCACTTAATTTTCTCGTTTCCCCACGACTCCAGGACATAGTTATCTCGTGCACACCAACTTAATTTTGTTTTGTGGCCAAGACATAGTATCTCGTGCGCACAAGATAAATAGAAACGCACAAATGTCACATATGTGCCACCGTAAGTATGTGATAAAAGTTATTAAAATAAACAAATAGAAATCAAAGTAGTTTCTCATTTAGAAGTTATTCTTAAGTATATAATGTATTTGATGCATTTTAAAAAGAGCTTGTCACAGAAAATACTATTCTTTACCCTAGCCAATATAAATCTAAACATTGACATGTATATTCAGAGTGTTGACAGAATCCAGATATGTTGTACAGACGATATGACAGAGGTACAGAAAGTAAGACTTTCTTGGAATGAACGAAAGATGATAAAATCAAAATGAAGTGCATACTAGGGATGATCCAGAAATATCCAGAATTAAGCCATTTTGCAAAAAATATTAAATGTTATCAAATGTTCATATAACAACAATATATTAATGCATAATATATCCTCTTTACAAGGAAGAAAGGAATATTACAATCAAACATATTATGCTCACCACATGCATATTTAAGCAAGCATATTTATGCGCATGTGGCGCAGTCTGAATAAGCGTTGAAGTCAAAAACATACTAAAATGTTTTTAAAGTATTACCGCTGTACGCAATAAAGATCGATGCTTTATAACCCATTTGGTTATTGATATGTTCTAGTACCATAAGGTTTCCTTTTATCGGAAAATCCCGGATGTCATTCACCATAAGAGTGTTAAAAACTCAAACGTTATGGCTATTAAACTGTTGTTTGTTTTAATTGTGTGTGTGCCGGGAGAGGGCGTTAAATCATATGCCTCTTAAAGTTGAAGGCAAAAGCATGTTACATTTCTTTATATCATTTGATAAAATAAAACTGTTAGTGATAAAATCATATGTTACAAAACAAATAAGATGTGAGAAATAAATAAAATGTTTTAGTTTTCGTTTAACGTTGCCTAAAATTCCTTGATAAGTGACGAATGCCCCCGAAAAGGTTTCTTAAGCATGTAGATAATATGAAAATAAAGGAGAATGAAAGTAACTTATTGCTTAATATTGTTCATGTGAAATGAAGTGCCATTTATAGCAAACTTAACACCTTGGGACAAGGGTCTTTGATGCGACACATCATCCTGATGTGTTAGACATTTATGCCAAATTATTTTAAAATCCTTCAATGCATGACAATGTTACAGTTTGGAAACTAATGTATACCTTCAAGCTCTTCTTATGAGCATAGTACCTTCAAATTATTAGAGTGACCTTTACATTGGAGGAAGGAGTATTGGTCTTACACACAACACGTCATCTTGATGTGGTTTACACTTGTGCGAAGTTATTTTTGAACTCTTCAATGCAGGACAAAGTTATAGTCCAGACACAAATATGTGTACCTATAATTGTGATAGCGTGAACCTTCAAAATTTAAGTCTGACCTTGACCTTTGAAGAAGAAACGTAGTTCTTGGACGCGGCAGAATGTTGTCAGGAGATAGACATTTGTTCCGAGTTATTTCAAAATCCCTCAATGCATGACAAAGTTACAGACATAACATTATTGTTGTGTAAGTGCAGACACGCAGACGGACAGAAGAACATATGTCTTAGCCCGACACATCGTCTTGATGTGGTAGAAATTTGTGCCAAATTATTTTAAAATCCTTCCATGCATGACAAAGTTACAGTCCGGACATGAATGTGTATCTTCAAACTCTTCTCGAGAGATTGAGAACCTTCAAACTGTGACCTTGGCCTTGAAGGTAGGGACATGGGTCTTGAACGCGATATGTCGACTTGGTGTGGTAGACATTTATGCCTTGTTATTTTCAAATCCTTCGATGCATGACAAAGTTACAGTGTCCTGACACGAATGTGGTTTTTTGACGTGAGACCTCGTCTTGATGTGGTAGATATTTGTGCCAACTTGAATTCAAAACCCCATAAATGTATGGACAAAAAAAAAAAAAAGGGTTTTAACAAAAAGTTCCGGGGGAAACCCAACGGGTAAAAAAATGGGGAAAGTGGGGACCCGGCCAAACAGACGGATGAACAGGCAGACAGGCAGACAGAGAGACAGACGGACGGATAATGCGATTTTAATATGTCTCCCTTCGGGGGCATAAAAAGCAAATGGATCCATAGTGTAATAGTTAATAAGAATAAGTTTTGGATAAATGTAATAAATTCTTAAAGCTAATCTTAGTTAGGTACATGCAATGTATCAATTAAGATCTATTTTAAAAATCCTATTAAATTTCGTCAAAGCTGCACACGACAGCGCATTTCTTTTTTCTTTCACAGCGACGAAAACGTTAACGTCATGCGCTTTTTTTCATCCCGCCAACGATATGTATTATTTTTATGATTAGTCCAACAGTCTAACAAAACATCTATACTTCTAAAAATCCTTTTGTTTGACTAACAAGATACTTGTGTAGGGTTTCTTTTGTCACTTTAGAAGTTTTTGAAGGATACTATTTGGACTGTCGGACTCCTTAATGGTGACAATTTTGAATAAATTTTTAAACATCCCTGGTTGTTACAAGAATATAACATTTTCAAAAGCAAAATTCTTAAACTAAAGAGGAGATCGATCTCCAAATAAAGATGCTAGACTTATAAACATTGTCATACATAATGATATTGAAACAAAGAACAATGATCTCTTAAGTTTAAAGAAGACACTATTTATAGTCATCAAGAAGAATAGTGAAAAAATAATTATTTTCAAGTAACAAATTAAACAAATTAAACAAATGAAATAGATTTCAATTTCAAAATAAGATAATCATGAAAACCCATGATTTATAAATCTAATCACATATGATGCAGATGTTAAAATGAATATATATTTTAAATTTGAAATAAATCAATGAAGAAATAAGAAAGTTAAAGAATGAATAAGAAAAAAATCAAAGTTCAAGGAGAAGATAATTTAAGAAATACTGACGCTAGAATCATACCACTTGTAAATTATTATGATGTGGGAGTTTGAAGTAAATGCTATAAGAAATGAAAACTTTGAGTAAAAAATAATCAATAAAATATGAAATAAAAGGCCAAGGGGGGACGACATTTTGGAAATTGTCAAGCTAAAGTATTAAACCTTCTAACAAATAATTTGAGTGATAACAAGATACATTTAAATTATATGAAGTTTGAAGAAGAAACATTAAGAAAAAAAAGAAGCTATAAGAAACAACAACATTTTTTCACTACAATTGTAAGTTCAAGGGGAGATGTGGTTAGGTAATTATGATAATTTTTGTGCTAGAAATGTAAACCTTGTCACCTATGATGTGGTTGATTATCAGAAAAATATATTTGAAATTTGAAATAAATACCTTAAGAAATAAAGAACTTAGTGAAAAATCGTAAACTGAAATCAGAAACCGACCCGTGGTGAGAAGAAGAGCTCTCAATATACTCCCTAAGGTCAAGTTTAATATCCATTCTGCCATCTATCCATATTTTAAGTGTCATTAAAGTATTTCAGTACTTTTTGAGAAATCACAAGTATTGTTATATTTGATTTTATTTAAAAATCTATTTTTTACCAAGGGAACCCCATTTTTTAATAAGTTTTCAAAAAACGTGCATAATTTTTGAAAAACTGCCAAATTTTCCCATATTTTAAAATTTCATAAAAAAAAATTTAGGGAAATTTTTCGTTATGTGTTAAATTTGCCATATTTTCAGTATATTTTTGTCATAACAACATAGGAAGAAAGGGAAAAGACGTGCATAAACTCCAGCTTGCCTTCTATCTTTATATCAAGCATTTTAAAATTATTGTCAGCACTTTTTGCGTTCTCACAGGATCCAGTTTTGTGGGCGAACTGACGGACGGACGGAGTAAAAACATAAAGTCTCCTCCGGTTAAACAGTATTGCATACACAGATTTGCAATAATTAGAAACAACATCAAGCTTTAACAATATTTTTTTCTATTTCAATGCTTTATGTGGCATTGCCCTTTCTCTGAGAAAATATGTATAAAAAGCGAGCTATCTTGTATTTTAATTTTGTTGACTTTTTAGACAAAACAGCAGAGATATTTATTTACAAAAATTAAGATGCCTTAGGGGTGAAACCGATAGAACCCAATCCGGAAATTGAGAATTTCTGTGTCTGTCATATACTAAACTTGAGTATTTTAACAAACATTCAGTGCTTTATGAGATATTGGTATTTAGAAGATTATTGTCTTTTCCTAAAAGTTATATATAAAAGCTAGCTACTCTATGCATTAGTTTTGTCGAATTTGAAGTTATTACAGTGGTGAACTTTTAAATAGACAGCTATTACAGTATCAGAGTGGTCAAACCGATTGAACCTTAACCGGAATATATGATTTTATTTGTTGTCCGCCACTACACAAACACGAAACGGCATCGCAGAAGTGTTTGTATTAGCATATTGAAATGAATATTTGCCCAGAAAAATTGACCCTTTTGTGCAAATAATCACAATTTTCTAAAACTACCTTTAAATTGTAATAATCTATGCACAATGTCGTGTTGAGCGATTTACCACCTTATTACATATGAAGGGGAATTTCATGAAAAATGATAATTATAAAACTTGTCAAAAAATTAGTCATACGTCAAATAGGGAGACAATTTGTACTGGGGAAATTTTAAAAATAAAAAATAAAGCCCGGGGGCAGGAAATTTTTTTCCCGTTTAAATTTTTATTTCAAAATTTAAACCGTCTTAATTTTTTTTTTTAAAATTTTAAATTTCCCAAAATTGTACCCTGACAATTTTTACAAAAAAAATCGGGTTTTTTTAACTTTTCATTTTACGAAATGGGTTTTTATATAACTTAAAAAATTTTTATTCTTACATCATATTTCATATAAACTATAATTATTAGAAAGATTACCTCTTGGTACACAATATATGCCGACATCATCACCATGACCACAATTATTTGATCCCCAACCTCTATGCGGACAATCAAATAAGCTTGATTCAGAGCCTGTACATTTTACATCATCCAAATGTATTGGCAATATTCCGGCGCCGTAGTGTGCGGACCCATATACCACGGGATCAGAACTAAAATAATATGTCATTTAATTGTCGATATTTATCACAACATATACAAAATTAGTCAATCACTTGAATCACCACATGATTTACATAGAAAATGCATACATTTATTTTGAGAATCAAAACGTAGATCAATTGCTTTGCTAATTAAGTGGATTTATTTTCTTTTAAGAAATAAATCGTTTCAATTTTGTGGGCTATCAATGCATGGCGGTCTCAACACTTGTCTAAAATTGAATAAAACTGGTCTGAAAATTTACACCTTTAATCCTGCCACGTGAATCCCGTGCATATTATCTGGCAACTTAATTTTATTACTTCAAGTTTAAATTCTAACGTAGTCACATCGTTCACGATGTTTCTATTTGGTAGCTGATACGGTTAAAATATGCCGATTCAAACATCTGATATTAAGATAAGTATTTCATTTGCCTTAATTCGTAATTGTAAATACGAAACCCCTAAGGTGACATTTTCCACATTTTCTCCCAGGACTTAGTTTGTTTTAACAAAATATCAATTCGTGACAACGAAATATTAATTCTTTTTTTTTTACGTAATAATAATTCGTTTTTTTTTCGAAATATCAATTCGTAATTACGACATTTTAATTCGTTTATACGAAATAATAATTCGTTTTTACGAAATATTGATTCGTATTTACGAAATATTAGTTTGTTTGTACGATTGATATATAATTCGTTTTTTGTCTTTTTATCATACACATTAGTATAACTTAAAAGGGCTGGACTAAGAATCAAATTTCTTTAACATCGATGCATGGACACCGTGCAATCATAAAAACATGATATATTATTTCAAAAACTTAATAAAATAGATAAAACGAAAACAGAAAAAAATGTCCGAGTTTGGATTTGAACCCCATAAACCGAATTGTTTTATCGCCTGTACTCTCATGCTTATCGCCGCAACTCAGTCAGTAAGCGATTATTTTGAGTTATGTACAGTACTGTTATACCGTCCCGTTAAGGTATAAGAAAATAAAATGACTATTTATACTGTGTTAACCTGGCTTATATTTAGTCAGGAATTTAATTAGTTATTTCACAAAATGACACATAATTTCTCCAAATTTAAACCAAGGACCATTTCCCAAAATAGCTGGAAAAGGCCCTGCATGATTTTTAGGATCAAGGTCATTGTGACCTTGACTGTGACAAATGACCCGCAAATCAATTGGGGTTATCTACTGGCAAGAGCCTCCCTGGCCTCTTCCCTCTCTTTATATAAAGACAGTAAATGTAATAGGTATTAAGTTATTAAGCAGACAAGATTGATGCTGTTGTGTCATGTCTATTGTAATTCACAGGATTGATTTTGTAAAAACGAAATATAAGTTAAGAATTAACATTTCGTTTTTACAAAATAATTATTCGTTTTTACGAATTAATATTTCGTAATTACGAAATATTTTTTTTTCGAATTAATATTTCGTTTTTACGAAAAAAAAAAACTTGAATAAAAGTCCGTGATTAGCTAAAAAATCATTGCTTATAAAATGTTATAATTAATGGCTTTGGATTCGATTTTTTTATTTTTCGTTTTGTTTATTGCCTTTTTCATTCTTGCTAGTTATAAATTAAATAATTTATATAAGTTTCAGGACACTATCCTATGACTGACCGTACAGAATTGATATGTAAACATGTATTTAACTAATTTTCTTGTATTCCTATGTATCATAACCAAAAGGATTGTCTCTTATAATGTGAAAATACATCATTCAAGCGGAAAACGATCTGGAATAGCGGCATGGTATGGTTTAAGGCTGAAAGTTATCAACTAAATTTAATACACATGCCGTTGAGGTAATTAGGCTATTTACACATGGTCGGTCATCATTTTCCGCTATAAACTGCTTATTTTCTTTCTACTCGTATTTCACATCTATAATTGCACTAAGGATTAGTTATGATAAAAGGTACATTACTGGCTATAAAGCATCGAATGTAGAACTTTCTATAAATGGGACGGTTCTCGCACATATATTCTGCTTTAATTTGAATTTATCATATCAAAGAACCATGCTACAGATTCATGCTAATTTTCGTGAAAGAATTGAAAATGTAAAGATAAAGAGTCGCTTACCAGAAACAACTGCTTTTCAGTGTTCGAAATATCAATTGTCAATATTTTCTAATAATAAATTTGAGCAAGGAATATGTTTAAACAATAATTTGAAGAAATGCATGACGCTTTAGCTTAAAAGGGGCCAAACAAATTAATCTGAGCAAACTTGATTAAGACTACCTAAGAATGCTACAGACAAAGTTTGGTGATCATCGATCAATTAGTTCTGTAGAAAAAACGTTTAAAGGTTTTTCTTTTTTTTAGCTTTAACGGCCTTTAAAAGGGGCCAATCAAAATAATATGAGCACATTTGATTAAAACCACACCAGAATGCTACAGACAAAGTTTGGTGTTCATCCATCAATTAGGTCTGTAGAAGAAGCATTTAAAGGTTTTTTTTTCTTTTTTTTTTAGCTTTAGCGGCCTCTAAAACGGGCCAATCAAATTAATATGAGCAAATTGATAACAGACTACCCCATGCTACAGACAAAGTTTGGTGATCATCCATCTATTATTTCTGTAGAAGAAGATATCAAATGTTTTTTTCTATTTTAACCTTTAGAGACCCCTAAAAGGGGCCAATCAAAACAATATGAGCAAAATTGATAAAATACTACATATGAATGCTACAGACAAAGTTTGGTGTCCATCCATCAATTAGTTCTGTAAAAATAGATGTTTAAAGGTATTTCTAATTTTAGCTTTAGCTGTCCGTAAAAGGGGTCAATCAAATTCATATGAGCAAACTTGATTACATTTTGCCATGATTCTTATAGCCAAGAAAACTACTTTTGTCATGCAATCGCATATAATTATGTCGGCATATGAAAACCGTTATTGTAATACTGATACAGAATGTAACTAGACTGTTTAAATTCCAATTCATTATAAAAATAAATGTATGTATGAATCCGCCTAATAAAAGTAAAATCGACATTTGTATGTCATATTTTATCATTACATTTTCTATCATATTTCGTTTTAAGGTATGAGCCCCCTAATGGACACTATAAGGAACTATAAAATTGACAACATAGGTCAGTTATATACCTTAAAAGACACAAGAATGCAAAATTTAAACAAAGTTTACCGTATGGTTTACGAGTTATGGAGGTTTTTCTTAAGTTAAACTTGGCTATTAGAAGGGCTCTTTTTCAGAAATGAGAAAATATAAATATTCTATTTTATAATCATTATGAAAAATTTTTTGAGAAACAAATAATAGCATTCAGCTCACAAATGACCCAGCAAAATTATTGTTTCTACTCAAAATGTTTGAAATATGTGCATATAAAAATGTTACCCTACCCCACCCATTTTAAGTACTTGTTTGATCAATTTTACTTGGAGGGCCTTATTCAAAATAACCCTAAAATTTACTCAAATCAGGGGCTGTTTTCAAAGTTTGCATAAATTTTCTTAAAAGTATATTTGTTGAGCTTGTCAAATATAGAATACTTTAACTGTCTAGTTTTTATTTTATTAGACTTTGAAAATATCAGGTACCATATTTGATAAAAAATGGCATAATTTAGCCAATAAATACCAATAATAATTTCATAATTAAAATGAAACACTTTTTTCTTCTCAAGAGTGATATGAGAGACACAAATAATGTTCAAAGAAAAAAAAAGAGAGAAAAAAAGTTGCCGCTTCTGGGGCTTGAACCCACGCCCCTCAGTTACAATGCAGTTGACAGTAGTTCTAGCCTATTTGAATACTCTTCAAAGTGGAGGTAATGCATTAGGTGGATCATACCTTAATTGACATTTAGTTGCACCAAATGCTAAATAAAGTCACAACTTTTTCCCAAATCAATTTTGTTTGTTATTTCTTTGTCTGCAATTGGCAGATTACAATGTTGTTACAACCGTAAAATAAATCATTTCATTTTTAAAAGACATTATGCGTCTTCTGGTTTACTAAACATAGTTAACACATGACAGAAAATTATTGGTAGTGAGTTTGCATTCTGAAATGCGGTGTGGTTTATATTTCACTTTCCCCTATATTATTTTCGTTAAAGGTGTCTCTTTTTACCTTTAAAGGCTGATTATGCATTACAATATCAAACAAACCTGGCCAATTTTATATTGTAAAATCAAACCTCCATATGAATTAAATTTGATTAACAGATCTAAACATCTATAATATTCAGTTTAAGCGCTTGAGTTTAAACTCTTTATTTTTACACTATACGTCACAGTATTTTTGCAATGACCTGTATATTTGGCTCCTCCTCCTAACAAGTCATTCAATCTCGTTCGCGCATGCTTAGTAGACTGGGTATATAAACCGAGCAAGCTTCTGCAAATTCCTATTCGATCCAGTCTCCGAGCTCCAGAAGCTGCCGTGAACTAACACGGAAAAATATTGGAGAAAGAAAAATTATGTAGCGTTTCTGAACAAACATGGCAAAAAGACTTCATTTTTGTGTTTTTTTTAAAGTAGCCGAAGGGGCTATGCCAAACGAGAACCTAACCTGTCACAAGTTTTCTGGCTGTCAAGGTTTCTTTGAAGAGACTGGTCAACATTATGTTCTAGACAATGGCACCAGAACAGAACACAGAAGTCGGTAAAACCAGCAGAAGTTGTGATGCCTAAATCAAGCTAATTGTTGATACAGATTAACCGATAGACAGGTGACGTCACTGTTTTTAAATACAAATTATAGTTAAAATTTAATCTATGCTGTTTGTGACAAAAATGACATTATCAATTAAATACGCATATATTCTTTATTACAGAAGAGTTCTTCAAAAATGCAGAATATTAACAAAATGTCGGTATTTAACATAAAATATTCTTAAAAGCAACTGTCACAACTGTAAGAAAATGTTTTAAACTTTGGCGGATACCTTTTACATTATTTTACACGTCGGTTTAGGGGTACTCGGCCGAGGTCATAAGTCCAC